ATTACCAGTAAAAGTTTACAAGGACACAGGCCAGACATTACCGGTAAAAGTTTACACGAACACAGGTCAGACATTACCGGTAACAATGTACACGGACACAGGTCAGACATTACCGGTAAAAGTTTACACGGACATAGGTCAGACATTACCAGTAAAAGTTTACACGGACACAGGCCAGACATTACCGGTATAAGTTCACACGGACACAGGTCAGACATTTCCGGTAAAAGTGTACACGGACACAGGCCAGACAGTCCCGGTAAAAATGTACACGGACACAGGCCAGACATTACCGGTATAAGTTTACACGGACACAGGTCAGACATTACCGGTAAAAGTTTACACGGACACAGGTCAGACATTACCGGTAAAAATGTACACGGACACAGGTCAGACATTACCAGTAAAAGTTTACACGGACAAAGGTCAGACATTACCAGTAAAAGTTACCAGTAAAAGTTTACACGGACACAGGTCAGACATTACCAGTAAAAGTTTACACGGACAAAGGTCAGACATTACCAGTAAAAGTTACCAGTAAAAGTTTACACGGACAAGGGTCAGACATTACCAGTAAAAGTTTACACGGACAAAGGTCAGACATTACCAGTAAAAGTTTACACGGACAAAAGTCAGACATTACCGGTAAAAGTTTACACGGACACAGGTCAGACAGTCCCGGTAAAAATGTACACGGACACAGGTCAGACATTACCAGTAAAAGTGTACACGGACACAGGTCAGACATTACCAGTAAAAGTTTACACGGACACAGGTCAGACATTACCGGTAAAAATGTACACGGACACAGGTCAGACATTACCGGTAAAAGTTTACACGGACACAGGTCAGACATTACCGGTAAAAATGTACACGGACACAGGTCAGACATTACCGGTAAAAGTTTACACGGACACAGGTCAGACATTACCGGTAAAAATGTACACGGACACAGGTCAGACATTACCAGTAAAAGTTTACACGGACACAGGTCAGACATTACCGGTAAAAGTTTACACGGACACAGGTCAGACATTACCGGTAAAAGTTTACACGGACACAGGTCAGACATTACCGGTAAAAGTTTACACGGACACAGGTCAGACATTACCGGTAAAAGTTTACACGGACACAGGTCAGACATTACCGGTAAAAGTTTACACGGACACAGGTCAGACATTACCGGTAAAAGTTTACACGGACACAGGTCAGACATTACCGGTAAAAGTTTACACGGACACAGGTCAGACATTACCGGTAAAAGTTTACACGGACACAGGTCAGACATTACCGGTAAAAGTTTACACGGACACAGGTCAGACATTACCGGTAAAAGTTTACACGGACACAGGTCAGACATTACCGGTAAAAGTTTACACGGACACAGGTCAGACATTACCGGTAAAAGTTTACACGGACACAGGTCAGACATTACCGGTAAAAGTTTACACGGACACAGGTCAGACATTACCGGTAAAAGTTTACACGGACACAGGTCAGACATTACCGGTAAAAGTTTACACGGACACAGGTCAGACATTACCGGTAAAAGTTTACACGGACACAGGTCAGACATTACCGGTAAAAGTTTACACGGACACAGGTCAGACATTACCGGTAAAAGTTTACACGGACACAGGTCAGACATTACCGGTAAAAGTTTACACGGACACAGGTCAGACATTACCGGTAAAAGTTTACACGGACACAGGTCAGACATTACCGGTAAAAGTTTACACGGACACAGGTCAGACATTACCGGTAAAAGTTTACACGGACACAGGTCAGACATTACCGGTAAAAGTTTACACGGACACAGGTCAGACATTACCGGTAAAAGTTTACATGGACACAGATCAGACATTAACGGTAAATGTTTACACGGACACAGGTCAGACATTACCGGTAAAAGTTTACAGAGACACAGGTCAGACATCACCGGTAAAGGTTTACACGGACACAGGTCAGACATTACCGGTAAAAGTTTACACGGACACAGGTCAGCAACCCAATAGAAACTAATAACTTGGTCAAATGATCGGAAGCGAAGTACACGGGACTTCTTATTGTTATACTATCGCAAATTATCATGAGTATTCATATAGCGTATCATTTGTTGATAGATTGTGTACATAGTGTATTTAAGTTGTAAAGAAACACGATATTGTATATAATGTATGTATATAAAGGCCTAGTCAACGCCCAAATATCCTGCCCCCGTGTCTTACTTTTACAATGACTATATATAGTGCTATAATTGTAAAGATGCTTATTGCCTACTTGTTTTATAATATTGAAATGTATTCCTCATGAAAAATTAAATAAAGTTTAAACTGAAGTAATGTCGTTGAATTATTGAGTGTTATACTATCGCTCTTACCTACTGGGCTAAATTTCGATGGAGTGTCCAATCCTAAAATCAAGGGAGGTTACTCTATAAGTAGCACATGTAATACTGGTTTTACGATTTATGGGGCATATTTATAGAGGACATATTTATAGGTACATATTTATAAAAGGAAAAGGAGACATTGAAACACGTTCCAAATGTTAACACCAATTCTTAGTATCATGTTACTGACATATTCTGACACTATACTCCAAATGTCGAATTAATGGAATGTGAATTTTGAAGAACTCAAAACGTCTTTTGAACAATCGAGCCTCCTTTCATCAGATTTATACAATCAGGATTGAAACGTAATAACAACTATTTTTTCATAACAGTAACACTAGTTACATTGATCTTGACGAAAATAACCCCGACAATTGTTGCAGTGAAAGTAGTATAATAAATGTCTGGGATCCGGATTAACGAAACTCGATAACCTACATGTAGTGATGACAGGACTGTTTAAAGAAATGAAAACTTCTTGTGCGTGTAAAAATCTGTCATTTTCCAATGCCCAAGACTGCAAGGAACTATTCTAAATGTCTAACGGCATAAAAAATAGTATTGATAATTTTGCCTATAATGTGCATAAACCATATGAAGTTGCTGAAGCTGAGCCGACTGATTACGCACAGTTTAAACCGTTAGTTTTTCGTAGATACGTGTGCACGGAATCCGTTTCAAATCATATACCATTACGACTTTATTGTATATTTGTAAGTACAGTAATTAAACCAATGTATTTATCTTGTATTTTATCACAAATATGCACAGAAGAAGAAGAACTGTTCTGAGCATTTCTTAACTATAAGCATTTATATAACGGTCCCTTCGTCTGAACACTGTACCTCTAAACATCTTATGAGGTTTTGCAAAATGCAATAAAATATAGCAAACTAATCGATTATTAAATCTGAACAGAAGAGCATGCCGGATTTTTCCTGTAATAATGGAAAACGGCCTACCCCTTATAGCACCTCATGTCCAGAAATAATCTACAGTGCGCACTGTTTTGCTCCGACGGAAGTTATATACAGGGCCAGTTAATATAAACGTATTGCTTCGCCGGAATCCGTGCCGCTTTATCCTGATAGAAGCTCTCTGACGGAAGCCATTACCACGAGTATCGGGATTACTCCCAGTTATTTTCGCGAGCGGACCACCGATTAAATAGAAATATAATATTAGACAAAAATACCGAAATTGTAGTTTGCAGTTAAAACGCTAAAATAACATGTATACAACACACCCAATTGCGACGGGTGGAATCTAGTGTTTCCTTTCCTATATTTATTTGTATTTCTTTTTTTGATCTTTAAACTTGGTAACGCCTCCCTTGTCACCTGGTTGGCTATGTATTGCAGTTCGTTAGTACGTGAGTATCGGAATGTGTTAGATTCCCAGTCCGAGACATACCAAGGTCCTAATAAATGGCAGGTGTTATTCCCTCCTAAATGCTTATTTAGGGTAAGTTCAACGGTCAGTGAAATGTGACAGGACGGAGTGCTTAGCTGGGAGACTTCGGCGTGGTATTTTAGTGAGGAAGCCCTCCTTGAGTCGGCATCATCTTCGATATTCCGGGAATTACGCTCCTGTCCGTTCTCCATACCCCTGCAATATGTATCAACCTTGTGATTGGTCAGGGTTATTTTGAACATGAAACCAGCCAAATAGCTTATCACGTGCCATCGATTTTGTCATGACATATTCCAGAGGTGCAGAGAACCTAATTGAACATTTGAGGATGAGTCGGTATTAGATCCGAGTTATCGCAAGGTGGCAAATACGCCAACATACCGCTACCAATACACACGTAAACATTTCACCTGTGGAGGCGAGTCCTGAATAACCCTAGCTGTAAACTGGACGCTAAAACCATATAAACCAAGCATGCATATGTTATTGAAAGGTCTTCGTGATATTTCTACACAATCTTCAATGAGTAAGCATTTTTGCAGAACATAAAATAAACTAACGGGAAGGTATAATGAATTCTGCCACGACAACGGGCTGTAACAGGGAAGAGATCCGTATTCACGAAACCGTTCTCATGCTCAAGCATGGAGTTTGTGCTCAAGCCTAATTTCTTCTTTTGGTTATAAATTGATAAAAAAATCTTACTCTGCCAATGATTTGGAAACCATTTGAAGAGAATTAAACCCAAATACTGTTTTCAATGTTTATATTTGACTTTATGATCGTTTGACATGATTTAAGCGAGTTACAAAAAAGTTGGCTGAGCACAGAATCCATGCTTGAGCATGAGAACGGTTTCATGAATAGGGGCCCCGGATATCGAACCTCCGATCCCAGACTTCCTAGTCGGACGCTCTACCACTGAGCTAAAGGGAAATTCCCACTAGCGCGAAGCTAGAAGGCGACCGTAATCCTATTTACTGTACAATTGAAATCTGACATGAAGCTAAAGATCAGGTGATGACGTTTCATAACCAGTGGAAATATATACATAGGCAAAGTCATAAAAATATGTGATATTTGCATTGCACTGCTCCAAAGCAAAATAAGCTATTGATGACGTAATAGTCAATGAAACATTGTGACGTCATAGTCATTGTTATGATTGCATTTTGGGATCGCGCAATTCTAGCATAGCTACGAGCCTTGTTATACGCATGCATTCGCAAATTTGATAATATTCTACACTGTATAGACAAAAATGGGTTGTAAATTCACGAAGGTAAGGGATCAGCGTTCTCGTGATGATGACGGGAAAATATCGGAAGTGATTAGCCAAAGTTCGAGTTTTACGGACTCTAGGACAGATCTTGAGTGCCACACTGCACCAGCTACCAGGAAAATTGTGGAGAAATGTCAGCAGGCTATGTCGGAGGCAAATGCACAGGAGGAGGAAGTGTTAAGTCTACATATGTACCCTCCCGATGACATAGATGAACATTCAGATGCAATGAGTGTAACAGCCGAAAGTGAAATGAATATATCTTTCTACAAGGAAGAGATAATCTTGGACCGTAGAGGGGACACACCATTCAGTGATGTATCATCGATGTCGGAGATAAGTCAGTTTTCTTCCAGGTTTTCATCAAGATTATCAGACTTCTTCCGGAGGGGAAAACGGAGCAAACTAAGTGCTCAAAGCAAGGTGTCGCTAGATGGTGACTATGGGAGAGGAGATGGAAATGAAGATGACTTATCATCGAGCGGATGTGACAGGTCTCCTACTCACTTCAACAAAGACACGAAGAAAGCAGCTCATGAGAAGGCATCGGAGCTAATTGGCAATGTCCCAGAAGGAGAAGAAATGCCAGATCCTGACATAGAAGACGATGGTAGGCCATCCTCCTCCTCAAGCAGCGAAGATTCCGTTTTCCATCCACAATTCAACTGCCGTGTTTTAGCCAGGCCTAATGCCGCAAGAGGATCAAGAAACCTTGTGCAAGCCACACCAGATCCGGCGGAGATTGCTCACCGTATCGTAAAGTTTGAGGCAGACGTTGAACAACTTATTAGTGAACATGCTTTACCGACCAGGGACTACCAAAACAGACAACTTCGACCAATGGTAAGACATGTAAATAGTTACATTCGGTGTTCTACAATGTACATGTATTACCTTCTTTGAATAGCTGTGGTCTGGCAGTGGAACCTAAACTGTTTTGCAAAAGTTCTTCAATTCAGAATGTGAATACAATGCATATCTATATATTTACACCGTAAGGTTGTTATTTCCTCGATGTTTTATTTGGAAATAAATGAGATATTTGTTATCCTTAGGGAGCACGTGGACCCCGTCTGCCATCATATAGCCTCCGGTTCCAGAAACCGAGAGCAGGTGTGAGTTCCGAGACCGTTTCAGGACGCGGAATGATGTACAGCAAACATTTTGCCAACACCATGAGTCGCCCCCAGCTGACTGTGAGAGGACTGGCGGCAACAGATGACTGTCTCACTCAGTGGATGGTTAGTCAGCAGAGCAGGGATTACGAACGGTTATAGAGCGAAGGTAAATGTCAAATCAATTGGTGATGCTGAATGGTAACTTAGTGTGGTTGTGACACGGACAAGCCATTGTCCACAGTTGCATTGCTTCAATTGATAACCAGTACGTGGTCCTGATTGTGTCGCTACACATTGCTGCGGCTAGGTAGACTAACACATGTACATGTACCGCTGTGATAACTTGATGCGTTACATGTTTTACACAATGATATACTGTTTATTCTGCTGCAAAGGATATTGCTGTTATTTACAATCCACGTGAAATTATATTGCTTTTGTTTGCTAATCTTGGCATATTTCTAATCTATTATCCAGATGGAGCAAAGGAATATTGTAGAGAAGGCAACTGGTCGACGTCACTAAGGTGAAAGCGAGACTGGGTTATCAGAGTAATAGTCTGCAACATGTTGTCAAAACGTTCATCGATATATGAACAATGATGTTGTGACTGTCGAATGGCGATGTACATCGACGATGACTGGATGGATTCCGCCATGGTGTAATAGAAATTGTAAACTCTCTACGAGAAATACCCCTGTTTTTCATGGAACTGTCGTTTATAATGGGTCATTGGTTGCTTGATATACATTTTATTGGTTAACCTTTTACAGGGCCCTGCGCAAGTTTACAGCATTTCAAAACAAAATCGTAGATAACAAACACATGGTGGCTAAACGTACCCAGGATATATCGAACATGTATTGGCAGTTAGAATGCAGGTAAACATAAACATTGAAAGGCCCACATTATAAAGTGCAGATCAGGGGTCAGCAAATGTAATACTCATTAAAATAATCGGCAATCGTCCGCTGATTTGGTTGACCTTCAGCTACGGGAAAAACATGAATTTCTTAGGAGCGCAATGATGTGTTTGGTGGAAGGCCTGGTTGATGAATAGATCAGATCATTATAATAACCGATGAAAGTTTAAACCGACGCCAGTCAGCAACCCACTGGAAACATATAACCTCGTCAAATGCGCCTGTATACAATAGAGATTATTCCATCGCAGAGCAATCAATTAATTGCGAATGCAAGTTGTAAAATATATTGTGTATATAAGTTGACAATATATGGTGTGTATATTGCATATGATTTGTAGTGTATATAAGTTGTAAATAAACATGATATTGTAAATAGAGTCAACGCCCAAATTTCCTGCGCTTATGTCTTATTTCGCCAATGCCTAAAGTGCTGTAAGTGCCAAATCAAATAGGGGTGGAATATTTAATGATGATTATTGTCTCAATGTTTTATATCATTGAATGTATAACACATGAATGTTAATCTAAAATAAAGTTTAAACTGAAGTAATGTCGTTGAATTATTTCTCCTGGCGCAGAAATTACATTTGTTGCTACTAAAGCAGCGATGTATCAGAAGTATCAAATACATATATTTACATTTGCATGGCATTGTCACTATATAGCCTCTTTGAAAGCTGTGTCGTTGATGGGACTTTAATTACCATGCATCACGAGCCACAATTCTTAGCGTATTAATACAACAACACTGACCGAAACTACAATATCCAATATAAATAAAAATGACGGCTGCTGAAAAATCGCTGGGCATTGTGAGATTTGACAATGTTATTGTAAATTAATGTGCAAAATAAAAAAATAAAATTAAAAAACACTTTTATTACAACGAAAACAAGACCAAGGTCTGCAATATCGTACAAAATGCACATCGGGTGAAATCACCAATGCCGGCAATGGAAACAATTTTAACGCTCATGCAATTTATCAGAAATATCGTCTGTTACACTGTACTGGTCAACAGGGGTTCGTTACAAATGTCTGAAATACACATATTATATAGACCTACTGACACATATGTTACAGACCTACTGATATGAGTCACAGCACACATAAACATTTCAGACATTTGTAACGAACCTGTGCTCCGTCGCAAGATCACTCACTTCAAACGCTATCAGTTTCACGCGTCTGGCATCCACCATTCCTCAGTTTTTGACGACATGTCAAATAACGAGGATGTTATTGAATCTACCGACTGTTTTCAGGTTCCCATACAATCAACAAATACATTCACGCCTGGATTCTTCACAAAATGAGCAAAGAGAAAAGTTCGAATTAACTTCCAAAAATAACTCCCTCGTGGAGGGCAAGGTTGGATTTACGGTGTTCACTGTATTTGTCCATGCGCGAAATTTGTTCCGGGGGAAAATCAAAACAATTTCAAATCTAACTTTCAGCTAAGATTTCTATTGATAAACTTAAATCACCCTATAGACATATCATACGCAATTGTATTGATACTAAATTGTGGAATAAAACTGAAGTGTTTGTTAATATTTCAAAGTAATACTTTGTTTGTCAATCAGCACGCGACAATACGCTGTTCAAACTATTGAACGAAATTGTGTGGACTGTCGATAAGGCTGGCATTTTTAATTTTGAATATAAATTATAAGTTAAAACAGAACAAAAGACCCAGAGAACGTAAATATAAGTATTGAACTGTTTTTGTATGGTATTTATGATCTATTTGAATGACACAGCTAGCGCGCATTATGTTGTTTGCTTGCAAAGCTGTGTCATTCAAATATATCATAAATACCATACAAAAACAGTTCAATGCTTAAATATAGTTTCTACATCATATATATATATTGTATATTGTAATCGAAAGTGCTTATTATTGTATTTATATTCTATATACATCATATCGAGAAATATGCGTATCATAAGTACATATGTGAGGATGAGTGCTTGAGCATGTGCTGCGTACGTGTTCGAGCATGCTATCGTCCGTCCGTCCGTCCGTCTGTCCATCCATGGGTGTGTGAGTGCAAGAGTGCGTGCATCCCAATAACATAACGTAAAGCACTGATAATTGATTTTGTAATCTAATGTGTTATACATTAAATGTAATATGTTTCAATTTCAATTTTCACCCCCTGTAAATAGGTTTTAAGTTCAACGTTATCTCATTCAAATTACTAAGATAGTTAAGGTGTCAACAGTCTCGAAGAACTATTTGCCTGTAATATATTCTTGGGAGAGGAATAAATATAAGCTCTAAAGGGCCTGTCACACCTAGCCGATTTGGGTCGCCGGAGCTATACCGGAGCACAAATTTGGCGACTTTTGGGGATCGGTACTAGTACGGCAGCGCAACGGTATCACATCGCTAATATCGGTAGTACATCGTCAGAACATCGGCGAAAAGAAATAGCAACGGCAGGCGACGGTAGAAATTTTTGAACATGCTCAAAAATGTCCGCCGTTGCGTTACCGGAGCGAGCAACTGGACTATACAACGGCAGTACATCGGCAGTACTCCGGTATGGCTTTGTTAATGTCGGTAGAGCACCTGCAGCGTCCCGTAATGGATCGGCGGCTCTCCGGTGGCCTCAATATAGGTACCGTACTGGTACCGATGTGATACCGTAGTACATGTACTACCGAATACCATCGAAGTAGAACTGATGGGCTGCCAATTTTCTAACGATGTACTACCGTAACATCGGCAGTGCAACGTTGTCACATCGGTAGAACACGGCGCCCCGGTATAACATCGGCGGCACATCGGTAACACTGAGGTGTCAGAAAAGGGGTATTCGGTAGCACACCGGCTCTTACATCAGTAGAACAACGGTATCACAACGGGAACGCCGGTACTACATCGGTATTGCTACGGTCAATTTTAATTTAGTTAAGTGCTTACTCGCCGGAGCTCTGCCGATTTTCTCGCCGTTATCAATATTTTTGCTCCGGTTAAGTCCCGGCGAGGTATATCGATAGTGTGTGACAGGCCCTTAAGCTTGTTTTCCAATCGCTGTGTAAAATCATATGTATGTAATTACTAATTAACACGTTTGAATATTGAATTAATACTGTTTAAACTAACCTCTCTCCTCCGGGACGTTTCGATCGCAAATATTTGATATTTATGACAAAAAACGTGGTTTCTTCGTTGTTTTACAGAACGGATTTAACATTTCTCAATCAGTTTAATATTTACCGCTGCCGTCAACTGCAATTAAAAAGTGTTTCCCGTCGAATTGAGAAATGTTCATCGGCGAAATTGACTCTTCCAGTCACACATTGTGTTATTGTACACTGTGCATATATATATATACTACTAAGGACTTTTGTACTAAATTCTTAAGAATATAAAACAAAATGTAAAGTATTGCATTACTATCATTTAAATCAGATGTACATACCTGATACTGTGACTTTGATATTCAAACACAAAGACGCAAATCCAACGAAAATCCAAAGTATTGAATCCATCCCTCCTCCATCCGTTACCAATTCTGCTGCGTATGACGCACAGTCGTCCTCTAACGCACGCCCTAGTTATACGGATCAAAAGACTGCCTGACTAATATTATTAATACATGTAAATTATGAGATACGGTTGATTAACCTAATCGAAATGATGTAGCGACATCCCTAGGGTTTAATGCATTCACTGTAATCGACAACCTTTGTTAGGCGTGTCCACTGATTATGAACATTATATCGCTACGCTTTTGAAAGGTATTAATTTAGATATATGGCTATTCAGCTTGCTCCTTAGAAATGCTATACCTTCAGTTGACATCACAAGCAAACAAAAAAAAGACATTAACTTAGTGACGCAATAATAAACAAGGTTTGAATTGAGCATGGTGCCATGTTAATAACCGGTGTAGTGCCAGCATTTAAACACCTATTTTCTGTCGTACTATTTATTAGGAATTGGATTATACACGTACGGTTGTGTAAGTATGTTACGACCGTAAACTTCTAGTATCAGGTAAAGTGTGCATCACATACTGCACTTTGGGATACTTTGGCGTCGTCAGAATTTTGCGGTTTTTGCTCAAAATGGGATGGTTTAATTTTGGTATGACAAAGAACTAGTGCGATAAGTGTATCTTTCCAATCTTATCGGGGATTTAGAATTAGTTGTTATATTCGTAATCTGGGGAAATGAAGTATGCAAATATGACTTTTCAAATTTATTCGACAACTAGTGTAGGAGAAATGGCGTAACAAAAGGAGGTATAAACCCTCATTTGTATATGCCCGTTAAATTTTGCGGCAGTATTATGGTATGGGGTTGTCCGTCGGTCCGTCCGGCGTAAACTTTTGTTTGTGCAGCAAACTCCTCCTACATTTTTCGACCAATCTCTTTGAAACTTGGTATACAATATAATCATGTTATGAAGTTGTGTCGACCTTAAAATAATTTTGATTCGACGATTTTTGCAAAAGTCATTGCCCTTTGTTCATTTCAGTATTTGATTTTTTTGTCCGGAGATTTTCTCCTACATTTTTTATAGCATGTCAGCTAACCACTCTAAGAATGATGCAGATCTAATTTCAATGGGCGTATATTGTTCCGCCCCGCGGTACTATTGTTCACAATAAAATGCATGACAAAACTCTATTGTGAACTTTTGACTTAGAAAATTGGCCATTTTGAAACAAAAAACTGTTAAATATTTGAAAGCCTCAGAACGCACCAACCCAATAAAAGTGTTGGCAGACCAAAACATTGTCTTGTATCAGTGAATGTTGTAGGCTTTCATTTGGGCATGGGAACAGTCCCATAATAACGCAATGTTGTTGCTATGGTGGGACAGCTAAGCAGCCACAATGAAAACATTCTGCAGTACAGTACATACACGTGTACACAAGGAAACATAGCCCCAATTAACATAGGCACGTACATACATGCACGTGTTCACAAGGAAACATAGCCCCAATTAACATAGGCACGTACATACATTTGTACATACACGTGTACACAAGGAAACATAGCCCCAATTAACATAGGCACGTACATACATACATGTGTACACAGGGAAACATAGCCCCAATTAACATAGGCACGTACAGTACATACACGTGTACACAAAGAAACATAGCCCCAATTAACATAGGCATGTACAGTACATACACGTGTACACAAGGAAACATAGCTCCAAATAACTTAGACACGTACATACATACACGTGTACACAAGGAAACATAGCCCCAATTAACATAGGTACGCACAGTACATACACGTGTACACAAGGAAACATAGCCCCAATTAACATAGGCACGCACAGTACATACACGTGTACACAAGGAAAAATAGCCCCAATTAACATAGACACGTACATACATACACAAGCACATATATATATACGGATGAACTCACGTACATACAAACATACGCACATACACACATACGTACATGTACGTCGTACGAACGTTAATCAAAAAGGAAATTCGTAATTAAATTTAATTTGACTTTTAAGAGTCCGAAAATGACCCATAATGCCCCAAGTACT